TAAAGAGCGAATTTTATCAGTAAGAAATTTACTTCTGTATAATGGAATCTAAAAATTTCATTGTGCGTTGATATGATTGTTTAAAAGTGTATTAAATATAAGAATAATATACAAATAACCTACACACTGGAGAAAGAAACTTATGACGACGTTTTGGTCCAAGTCTGACCGAAACAATGTCGTCATGAGTTTCTCATATGAGTTATTTGTGTATTGTTCAAGTCACGGTATTGTACGTTTATGTTCTTTATGATAATAACGTACCTTCTGCATTGCAATGATGAACCATCAGAGTGTAGAAATCGCTTGTGGATTGAGGAAGCACACGCGTCAAGACTATATTTTGATCTTCCTTGATATATTCTTCTGCAGAGTAACATCAAGCACTTGGAACACAGTGCTCCTCCAGTCACTAAGTCTTCTCATAATTACTGTGTCTTGCATATTTTCTCAAGGATTGCAAGAGGAACATTGTTGTACCTAACCAAAGCACCCAGAACACGAACCATACCTAATGCTTATATCATTCTCATTAATAACAATGTAGCTGAGAATATAACCGAGGCATTTTTATTATGTCAATTTGCAGTAGTTATAACACCACAACCACCGCTGTCAAAGACTTCACCAAATTCCAAACTGACATTCTTCGAAGTAGTGGTGATTACTCCGTGAGAAGGTTACCAGTGGTGATATTTGCCTTACTCCGTGTGAAGGTTACCAGTGGTGATATTTACCTTACACAGTGTGAAGGTCACCAGTGGTGATATTTGCCTTACTCCGTGTGAAGGTTACCAGTGGTGATATTTACCTTACACAGTGTGAAGGTTACCAGTGGTGATATTTACCTTACACAGTGTGAAGGTTACCAGTGGTGATATTTACCTTACTCCGTGTGAAGGTTACCAGTGGTGATATTTACCTTACACAGTGTGAAGGTTACCAGTGGTGATATTTACCTTACACAGTGTGAAGGTCACCAGTGGTGATATTTACCTTACACAGTGTGAAGGTTACCAGTGGTGATATTTACCTTACACAGTGTGAAGGTCACCAGTGGTGATATTTACCTTACACAGTGTGAAGGTTACCAGTGGTGATATTTACCTTACACAGTGTGAAGGTCACCAGTGGTGATATTTACCTTACACAGTGTGAAGGTTACCAGTGGTGATATTTACCTTACACAGTGTGAAGGTTACCAGTGGTGATATTTACCTTACACAGTGTGAAGGTCACCAGTGGTGATATTTACCTTACACAGTGTGAAGGTTACCAGTGGTGATATTTACCTTACACAGTGTGAAGGTCACCAGTGGTGATATTTACCTTACACAGTGTGAAGGTCACCAGTGGTGATATTTACCTTACACAGTGTGAAGGTCACCAGTGGTAATGTTTACCTTACACAGTGTGAAGGTCACCAGTGGTAATGTTTACCTTACACAGTGTGAAGGTCACCAGTGGTAATGTTTACCTTACACAGTGTGAAGGTCACCAGTGGTGATGTTTACCTTACAGTGTGAAGGTCACCAGTGGTGATGTTTACCTTACACAGTGTGAAGGTCACCAGTGGTGATGTTTACCTTACACAGTGTGAAGGTCACCAGTGGTAATGTTTACCTTACACAGTGTGAAGGTCACCAGTGGTGATGTTTACCTTACACAGTGTGAAGGTCACCAGTGGTGATGTTTACCTTACACAGTGTGAAGGTCACCAGTGGTGATGTTTACCTTACACAGTGTGAAGGTCACCAGTGGTGATGTTTACCTTACACAGTGTGAAGGTCACCAGTGGTGATGTTTACCTTACACAGTGTGAAGGTCACCAGTGGTAATGTTTACCTTACACAGTGTGAAGGTCACCAGTGGTAATGTTTACCTTACACAGTGTGAAGGTCACCAGTGGTAATGTTTACCTTACACAGTGTGAAGGTCACCAGTGGTGATGTTTACCTTACAGTGTGAAGGTCACCAGTGGTGATGTTTACCTTACACAGTGTGAAGGTCACCAGTGGTGATGTTTACCTTACACAGTGTGAAGGTCACCAGTGGTAATGTTTACCTTACACAGTGTGAAGGTCACCAGTGGTGATGTTTACCTTACACAGTGTGAAGGTCACCAGTGGTGATGTTTACCTTACACAGTGTGAAGGTCACCAGTTGTGATGTTTACCTTACACAGTGTGAAGGTCACCAGTGGTGATGTTTACCTTACAGTGTGAAGGTCACCAGTGGTGATGTTTACCTTACACAGTGTGAAGGTCACCAGTGGTGATGTTTACCTTACACAGTGTGAAGGTCACCAGTGGTAATGTTTACCTTACAGTGTGAAGGTCACCAGTGGTAATGTTTACCTTACAGTGTGAAGGTCACCAGTGGTAATGTTTACCTTACACAGTGTGAAGGTCACCAGTGGCAATGTTTACCTTACACAGTGTGAAGGTCACCAGTGGTAATGTTTACCTTACAGTGTGATGGTCACCAGTGGTAATGTTTACCTTACAGTGTGAAGGTCACCAGTGGTGATGTTTACCTTACTCAACAGTGTGAAGGTCACCAGTGGTAATGTTTACCTTACACAGTGTGAAGGTCACCAGTGGTAATGTTTACCTTACACAGTGTGAAGGTCACCAGTGGTAATGTTTACCTTACAGTGTGAAGGTCACCAGTGGTGATGTTTACCTTACAGTGTGAAGGTCACCAGTGGTGATGTTTACCTTACACAGTGTGAAGGTCACCAGTGGTGATGTTTACCTTACAGTGTGAAGGTCACCAGTGGTGATGTTTACCTTACACAGTGTGAAGGTCACCAGTTGTGGTATTTACCTTACAGTGTGAAGGTCACCAGTTGTGGTATTTACCTTACAGTGTGAAGGTCACCAGTTGTGGTATTTACAGTGCGAAGGTCACCAGTTGTGGTATTTACAGTGTGAAGGTCACCAGTTGTGGTATTTACAGTGTGAAGGTCACCAGTTGTGGTATTTACAGTGTGAAGGTCACCAGTTGTGGTATTTACAGTGTGAAGGTCACCAGTTGTGGTATTTACAGTGTGAAGGTCACCAGTTGTGGTATTTACAGTGTGAAGGTCACCGGATAATAAACGTTGGTAAAACTTAAAAAAAAATGTTAATACATATAGTGAAACATTAGAATGTCTTCACAACTGATAACATGAACAACTCGTGTATAATTTATTATAGCTCACTGGTCATCTTATGAAGTGTAATGACGGAAGAACATAATTATATCAAAAGTTTTTAATACCAACAAGTTGATGAATAAAAGACAGTAAACTGCATCTTCCAGTCCAACTCACTCTTATGTCACCGCTCATTGGCACTTTTTTCATTTTTTGGCTTTCCCTATTAAGGCCTCCATTCTTATGTCTTTATTTTAGGATGATAAAAGCCTTGGTGTGCGAATATCTCTTAAATAAAGATGTTGCACACGTGTTGCAACACGTGTTGCAACAGGTGTTGCACACGTGTCTTATTCATCAGTGTAGTAATACTTATCAAGGAAACAGATCTCCATAAGAAGTGTTCAGAATCCTCTTTTAACTCTATTTTGGATTGTTACGCAAAAGGCAGATGTTTTAACATTTGCAAAGTAAATTCAGGAATGGTCCTGAAACCCCTGAACACGGTCATCCCTTAATATCAGTTATGTGCTAAAGCCTTTCTTCTCTTTACATCTCTTACTAAACCTTGTTAGAACCTTTACTCTCAGGCTCTGCTGTTTTACCCCTCACCTGGTCACTATATATCCGTGCTCTGTTAATGTTCGTTGAGGCTTAGTTAAGCTCTTATTATGTGAAACAGCCTCAATAAAACATTCAGATCACTAAGTGTCCATTTACCTAAATTGATTGTCGATATATTTATAACTATCATACTCTCATAGAAAGTCTGGGTTGATATAGTTAGCAATACTGCAAGTTATATGAACGTTGATGTTAAGGAGAGCCGCTATGCTTACTTGAACACTGAGTGGCGTAATTTATATACACCTCCAGCATGCATGCAATTACAAGATGGTAGGCAACAGTGTGATCTGGTCTTGGTAAACTTTAGTCTGTAGCAGGAATGCATCTCTTCATGGTAAATTTTGAAATTTGCCATGACCTTTGATCTTGTTTCAATTAGGGCAACATCAATCTATTTTTTTTGTGAATCTTATAATTTGTGTATAATTTTCACTTTTGGTATGTGCCGAGTGCACAGAAGAGGTCCTCCATGCTTTCTATTAAACTTTAGAAAATACAAATTACTACTCTGTACATCTCAGTCAGCTGAAAGCATGGCTAACCAGAGCCATCTAGCGGTGAGTCAACTCTATAGTAGATTCGTCGGGTTAGCCTAGTTGTTGAGGCATTCTGATGTTTCAGAGGGAGGGTAGGCTGACCAGTTTCACTATTTTGTGGAATATTTAAGGCAGTCAAACCCACTCGAGCCTTTGGCTGGTAGATCGATATCTCCTTATGTGTAATCACTATTGTTGCTGAGTGTTCTCATATTTCACCATTCTTCATAACTGTTCCTTAGATGGTTATTGTGTTGAAAAGTGTACATAGCGTAAACAGTGTACATGAGTCTGGTGCTGGAATATTGTTAAATTACAAATTCATATCTGCTTTATTTCATCTTGTGATTCAACTCTGACTGCTCTAAGATAGTTTATCCTGTGACCTGGTACTTAAAGTCATAGACAATTATATGGGTTCATGATAACGCTTTATTCTATGCATGTAACTTTTAAGGTAATGAGATAGAACAGAGCTCTCCTGGCCGTATTACACCATACCTTTTGTATGCAACGATCCTTGTTTGAAGATTGTAAGAAAACATACAAAATATATTAGTCATTCCTTTGTACAGTTATTTATATTGTGTTTGTCTCCATGAGGATTTTCTCAATCTGCCCATTTGTAATATTTACTTCGGAATTATTTCCATAATATTACATTTTATAATTCTTTTCTTTCATTCAAACTACAGTAGGTGAAACAGTTAGACTATGCCATGACCAGCAGCCAGAGTAGAGAAACTTTAACTATGGACATGAACCAATCCGCCGCCTCTGTTTCCTTCGGGAAGAGAAATGGTTGGTATGTAAACAGAGGTGTTGCATTCTTGCTGGGGCTGCTCTTCGTGAGTGCTGTAGTGGCCACGGGACTTCTCGTTTACTACTACGCCCCGCATGTCAGGGAGTCAGGACAAGATTCCCAGGACCTGAAAGACGACAGAGGGCGTAGCCCACTAGTGAGTACCTGAATACCATCATGATTTCTGATCTGAATTGTTGAAAGATAACCTGATTCTGTTGCAAGTTCTCTCGTCAATTTCTCAGTAATGTAAATACTACTGCTAAGATGCATATAAGCCTGTTAGTCGTATATTAACGCGAGCCAAAGAGTCAGAAAATATCCAGAATATAAAAAATATATTGTATTTCATGTTTTCTTTCGAGCTGTTAGCCACTGACTACACTGTCTTTCAGACTAAGTTCCTGGTAAGTTTATGTATTATTGCTCCTTCAGTGGGTACCGTCTTGACTGTAGTGAAGAGCTCATCATTCAAGAAATTTACACTACTCCCTCTTCCTCGGATGAAATCTAATTATCAGTTATTTCCCAAGAGCTGCTTGACTCTTACGAGCTTAGTTCCCCATCAATTTAATAGTGCATATTAATATCTTAAGAGGCATGCATTTGGGAAACAGTTACAAAATTAGTCTATTCTAAAATTAAAACATATTGTTAAATGCTCTGTTAACTAATGTCTTACAGCAACCTTCCACACACTCGCCTGTTGAGACATCTCCTGAAACACCATCTAAAGAGAAAATCAATGTAAGACTACCCAGAGCCCTCAAGCCTCTCCACTATATGGTCAAACTTCAACCTTTTATTAATGGCAACTTCAGCATCATAGGATACGTGGAGGTGGAGATGGAGGTTGTTGAGCCGACCTCCAACATTACTCTTCATATTAATGATATAATCACAAACAACGAAACCATCAAGGTATGTTTTTAAAAAATATGGTTTAAGATAACACAACTGTATAGAAGCATCTATCACAGCTTTGCCTCATATAGCTATGTAACTTGGAGTGATTATATGGAAAGATACAAAAAAGATAGTCATCCTGGTCAACATTGCTACAAATGCTATATATTTTTATTTCACCTTATAATTTTACAGTTGACGCCTTCTGATGATCGGACGGGATCCAAGATAGGGATTGTAAAACATCTATATGACAAAGAACGAGAATTTTACATTGCCAAGTTAAACAAGGAGCTAAAGCCCGGCAAGAAATACGTTCTTTCCATGGAGTTCGTTGGTTACCTCAATGACAAGCTCCTAGGTTTTTACAGATCTTCATATACGGATGAACAAGGGAATGAAAAGTAAGATTAATTTTTGAACAGATATTTTTGTTTGTTTACATTTGAACTCTCCATAGTGACAATACTTGTATTGTACTTTCCTGTCTTTTAGATGGATTGCAGTGACTCAGTTCCAACCAACGGACGCCAGAAGAGCCTTTCCATGTTTTGATGAACCTGCGTTGAAAGCCACTTACGAAATTTTCCTGGGAAGGGAATCTTCAATGTCTTCCCTTTCAAACATGCCGAAGTTTGAAACAATACCAATGTAAGATATTATAATTTATTTTATACGAATCTTATGCTAAATTTATCTTGAGTCATATACTGAACATAGGAAGTAAATGGTTAAAAATATTATTTTTATATTTATTTGTTATTTCTATCCCAGCGAGGGTCAAGATGGGTGGGTGTGGGACCACTTCAACACAAGCGTGCCCATGTCCACCTACCTGGTAGCCTTCGTCATCTCTGACTTCGCTAGCATGGAGTCCAACGACAACGATCACGTTCTCTTCCGAGGTAGGTTGTAATGGAAAGTTATTATTTTATCTAATTGTTAGGTAAGACACATATGCAACAGTTAGGTATCTTTATTTCGAAACGTTTCGCCTACACAGTAGGCTTCTTCAGTCGAGTACAGAAAGGTTGATAGAAGCAGAAGATACTTGAAGACGATGTAATCAGTCCATCACCCTTAAAGTTTTGAGGTGGTCAGTCCCTCAGTCTGGAGAAGAGCATTGTTCCGTTGTCTGAAACAATATGAAGTTGAAGTGACAGAATGGGGCCTTTATATAGTGCCAGGAGGTGAGACGTAGGTTGCTTTGGGAGGGCAGGTCCTTCTCAAACCCAGCCGTTCTCACTAGTAGAGGTTGTCGAAGTGGTCTGTACCAAAATACCCTTGTGTTGCAGTGTCTGACAGAATGAACATTAAAATGGTATGGGAAAAACCGACCCGATTGTTAGATAAACACAAATGCAGACCACTTCGACAACCTCTACTAGTGAGAACGGCTGGGTTTGAGAAGGACCTGCCCTCCCAAAGCAAACCTACGTCTCACCCCCTGGCACTATATAAAGGCCCCATTCTGTCACTTAAACTTCATATTTTTTCAGACAAGGGAACAAGCTTTCCCAGACGAGGGCTGACCCCCCAAAACTTTGGGGGTGAGGACTATTACATCGTTTTAAAGGGATTTTTGCTTCTATAAACCTTTCTGTACTCGACAAAGCCTACTGTGTAGGCGAAACGTTTCGAAATAAAGATACCAAACCTGTTGCATATGTGTCTTCCCTAAAAATTTCTGTGGGATTTCATACCTTTTAATGTTCATTCTGTCAACACTGCAACACAAGGGAAACTTGTACAGACCACTTCGAAAACCCTCAAATAGGGGGAACGGCTGGGTTTGGAAGGACCTCCCCTCCAAAGAAAACCCACGTCTCACCTCCTGGCACAATAAAGGCCCCAAATCTGTCACTTCACTTCATATTGTTTCAGAAAACGGAAAATGCTCTTCTCCGGGGACAGCCTGACCACTCAAAACTTTAAAGGGGTGATGGCCTGATTACATCGTTTTAAAAAGTATTTTTCCTTCTATCAACCCTTTCTGTACTCGCGAAAAAAGCTATGTTAGGCAAACTTTTTCAAAATAAAGAACCTAACTTTTGCTAGTTCTTACCTAACAATCTGTCGGTATTCAACCTTTTAATGTTCTTTTCTGTCAGACACTGCAACAAAGGGATTTTGGGTCAGCCCCACTTCGACAACCTCTACTATGAGAAGGGCGGGGTTTGAGAAGGACCCGCCCCCCCAAAGCAACCTACGTCTCACCTCCGGGACATATAAAGGCCCCATTCGTCACTTCAATTCTATTGTTTCAGACAACGAAAAATCCTTCTCCAGACGAGGGACTGCCCCTAAAACTTTAAGGGTGATGGACTGTTTAAAACGTCTTCAAGTATCTTTTTTTATCAACCTTTTTATCGACTGAAGAACCCTCTTTTTAGGCGAAAACGTTTCGAAAAAAGTCCCTAACTGTTCATATGTGCTTACCTAAAACTGTCGGATTTCTCCTTTTTAAAGTTCATTTGTCAGACACTGCAACACGGGTATCTTGGTACAACCACTTCGACACCCTACTGGGAAAACGGCTGGGTTGAGAAGGACCTCCCTCCCAAAAAACCCTACCTCACCTCCTCCCTATAAAAAGGCCCCATTCTGTCACTTCAACTTCAATTTTTTTCAGACCGGAACAATGCTCTTCTCCAGACTGGGGGACTGACACTCAAACTTTAAGGGTGTGGACGATTACATCGCTTCAAGATTTCTGCTTCTTAAACCTTTTGTCTCGCAAAGGCCAGTGTAGGCAAACTTTTTCGAAAAAAATTCCCTAACTTTTGCATAGGTCTTCCTAACAATCTTTTGGGTATTTCATACCTTTTTAATGTTCATTTTATTAATAATGAATGTCCCATCGCCTGGACTAAAAACGACCACAAAAGTAATATCAGCAATTAAAAATTAAAAAAAGGAAATGTTAAAATTTTTTAAACTTTATTTCCTTTCTTTTTTAAGCGGGAAAGATACAGTGAAATTCCAGAAATGAAAAATTTAAGTAGAACAAACGATAAAAATAGGGCACGAAAGGGGTAACTCGTGAAAAGGTCCTCAGATATATAAAATTAAAATCGAACAACCCCCAGCCCTGTAAAACTTTTTGAAAGGGTTTTTTAAAGGAACGTAAGGGGCCCCTTAGAAAACCCTTTTGTATCTTCTCAAGATATCACTACAAACTAGCATAGTGCCAGACAAGTGGAAAATGTCAAATGTAATACCTATTTACAAAGGAGACAGGTCCTTAGTTTCAAACTATAGACCAATAAGCTTTACCTCCATAGTGGGAAAATTTATGGAATCTATAATTGCCAAGGCAATTTGTAGCCATCTTGTAAGGCATAACTTGATTAATGAATCTCAGCACGGTTTTAAAAAGGGGCATTCCTGCCTTAGGAATTTACTAACTTTTTTCACCAACGTATTTGAGGAAGGTAGATCATGATAATGAATACGATATTGTGTATATGGGCTTCAGTAAGGCTTTTGACAGAGTTCCACATCAGAGGCTACTGAGGAAAATTAAGGCACACGGAATAAGAGCAGAATTTTTTTCCTGGGTAGAGTCGTGGTTGGCAGATAGGCAGCAGAGAGTTTGCATCAATGGGGAGAAATCAGAGTGGGGGCGCAAGAGCGCTGTTCCACAGGGGCCAGTATTGGGCCCTTTGTTGTTCACAATTTATATAAAGGACATTGATGAGGGAATAAATAGCGACATAAGCAAGTTTGCTGATGACACCAAAATAGGTCGCCTAATTCATTGTAATGAAGGTCCGAATAGACTGATGTAGTGGTCGGTGAAGTGGCTGATGCAGTTTAATATAGACAAATGCAAAGTTCTAAACACTGGACAAGAAAATACCCATTCCACATATAAACTATGTAATGTAGATCTTAATATTGCTGATTCCGAAAAGGATTTGGGAGTTCTGGTTAGCAGTAATATCAAACCAAAACAACAGTGCATAAGTGTTGACAATAAAGCAAACAGAATCCTTGGCTTCATATCAAGGAGCATAAATAATAGAAGTTCTCAGGTTCTTCAACTCTATGTATCTTTGGTTAGGCCTCATTTAGTTATGCTGCACAGTTCTGGTCACCGTATTACAGAATGGATATAAATACACTGTAAAACGTACAAAGAAAGATGGCAAAGTTGATCCCATGTATCAGAAACCTTCCCTATGAGGACAGACTGAGGGCCCTCTAGAAAGGCGTAGAAATAGGGGGGGGATGTGAATGAGGTGTATAACTGGAAAACAGGAATAAATAAAGGTAATGTAAATAGCGTACTAAAAATATCTAGCCTAGACAGGACTCGCAACATTGGTTTTAAGTTCGAAAAATTCAGATTCAGGAAGGATATAGGAAAGCACTGGTTTAGTAATAGAGTTGTGGATGAGTGCAACAAACTCCCGAGTACCGTCATAGAAGATAAGACGTTGTGTAGTTTTAAAAATAGGTTGCATAAATACAGGAGTGGGGGTGGGTGGGTGAGCTGGATCTGATTAGCTTGTGCTAATAGGTCTGATGCCGTGCCCCTTAAGTGGATGTGACCTGACCTGGCTAGGTGGGTCATTGGTCAGTAGGCCAGCTTCTAGGCAGGTGTAAGTCACCTGCCTAGAAGCTGGCTGCCTTGGATTAAAACGTCTAGTGTGAGCTGGACGCCAAGGTATTTTTTTTTTCGCCGGTATTCTCCCGGCCCGGGTCTTTTCCGGCCTTGGCTCCCTATCTGGGGAGTGTCTCGAGACTTAAGTCTCCCATGGGAGGAGGTACAAGTACCTCCTCATCTTTGGGACCAAGTGTCCCCAGGCCTAGCCACATTCCCCGCCCTCACGGGGCTCGTAGGGAGAAGCTAGGCCTCTGGTCTGCCAAGGTATTGGTCCAGTGTGGTACGGTAGGTAAAGCACTGCGTACCTTGTCCCAAGGCTCCTTCGGCCAGTGTGTGTACGTGCGTGTTTGCGTTCGTACGTGCGTTCGTGTGTGTGTGTGTGTGTGCTGGTTCATGCATAAAAGAAAAAGAAACAAGAGTTTGATATGGTTTACCCGGCATCACACTCGTTCATCAGACGAAAAAAATGTTGCTTAACTGTTCTGCTTGAGTGAAGTTACCGTGGAGGATGCTTCTGAAAATATTTTGTTTATGTTGCAGTGAAGGCTCGAAAAGCTGCCATTAACCAGGCAGACTACGCTCTCCTGACAGGTCCTAAAATTCTTACTCACTTCGAGGATTACTTCAACGTCTCGTTCCCTCTTCCCAAGCAAGACATGATTGCAATTCCCGACTTCTCGGCTGGTGCCATGGAAAACTGGGGACTCATTACCTACAGGTCAGATAGAATTTAAACTATTATGTTCTTACTTTTATTAATGCTACCGTATGATAATATTTTTACCTGTAGAGGCGAGTTGGAAGCTTTTATATATACTGCTTAGAAAAATTTTCACAATTACTGCCATAATTAAAACATTTTCAATATCAGTACCATGCATTCCATTTCCAGAAATAATTCTTTCAAGTAAGTCTCTGTGCAGTATAAGTCTGAGATTGCAATTATATTATTATTATTCTGATAATATGTAAGCAAAATAGTTTATCATCACCAGTGTCTATTAATGAGTCTGGTCATATGCAGGGAGACAGCAATGTTGTATGATCCAGAGGTGTCATCAGCGAGGAACAAACAGAGGGTAGCTATCGTGGTGTCCCACGAGCTGGCTCACCAGTGGTTTGGCAATCTCGTAACTCCAGACTGGTGGACAGACCTTTGGCTCAATGAAGGTTTTGCTTCCTTCATGGAATACATCGGTGTGGACCATGTGAGTTGCCTGCAGGGTCAGCTTTTAACACTGGGTGATGATAGGCAGGATCCTTCAGTAAATTTGTGGTCGAGAAGCAAAGGGAAAAGTGCGAGAGTAAAACTTATTTTATATTTTCCAGCAAGAAAATTAATAATTAAACCACAGATTGGTCGTTTTCTAGTTGTTAAAAAAAAGGAAGTCATTGTGAACGAGAGGGGGATTCTTAACGAAGCAGTTCTTACAGTCTCAGTTGTGTAATATGTCTTACACCAGAAGGAAACTTAATTTAGCAAAATAAACTTCATTAATGTTATACGATACCAATAAGTTCTTGAATAAGACACATGTTTATCATTCATGTATCTTTTTTATAGAAATTTTTCATCTGCATAACAGGCTTCTTCTACCTAATATAGGCGAATATAACGCAGCAATAATAGTAGTTTTGACGAGACCAGTCCATCACACTTGGTAGGAAGAGGTAGTCAATCCCTCAAGCATAAGGCACAGGCATGAGGCCAGACCCTATATACTAACACAGAAGTGGGCCACGCTCACCTGTGATGCCAACTCCAGCTGCTTCACATCGCTTATGGACTGAAGAAGCCTGTTGTGCAAGGGAAACATTCCGACAGTAACGATACTTGAATGTTGCACATGTATTTTATTCATTAATATAAATTTATATATAACATAAACACTTAAAATAACACAGCACATATGAAATTTACAATGCTTCCAGTGCACAATATATCAAGATAACACACAAAGGTACAAGATCATTATTAATGAACTTAACACACCCAATAGCAAATATACAAAGAGCGATGTGCATCTTACCAGTGTGATTATGCTAAGAGTGTTTTTAATACCTATTTTGGGGAATAAAAGCATCCCTGACGTGATGTACATAAGACTCAGTTTAAATGACTCGCGTTCTTGATAGACTATGAACTTAATAAACCATCCAACCAACTCAACATTTTAACTCCAGACTGTAATATTAAGCTTGTAACAAGCAAGAAAACTAAAATATCCAAATTGCACACATGGTTGGATTTAAGTAATCTGAAAGTAAAGCTTATTCTAATAATTCTAAACTTTCAGAATTACTGATTGAGATGAGAAAGGAGGTGGGTTAATTAATATGGAGAAGGAAAAAGAGATTTATATTATCAATCGGTAATTTCTAGAATAATTCTATGAAGTATGCGTTAGATAAGATTTTTGGGGGTATAAAAAAGGGCTGGTTTCAAGCTCTAGTTATGTAAGTACCCATAAGAAAATCTGCAACAATGTTGTGACTAATTAACACAAGCTATTACACCTTATCCGTAACTCCTCTGCCCTATGGTTTCTAACACCCAGTGTCAGACATTCTACGAGTTAATACCAATTTGCCTAACCATGACTACTTTTCCTCTAGGCAGAGCCCACCTGGAACATGATGGAACAGTTCGTAACTGAGGATGTCCAGAGAGTGTTCTCTTTAGACTGGCTGGAGTCCTCACACCCTATTAGCATCCCAGTGGGACATCCAGATGAGATTAATGAAATATTTGATCTCATCTCCTACTTAAAGG